CCTGCTGATGTGATGTTATTTGGGCCTTAGATCCATGGTTCACAGCTGAACCCTGTGGACAGGGTTTTAGTCTGAATGTGACTGAATCTATTTCTGCAGGGACGTGGACGCTGGGTGTCAACTAAAACTTCTGCTAACTTTGCGATAGATGACACCGCCTGTAGATGTTACACTGCACATTTATCATTAGATATGTTGAATCAAGCTCAGTCTCTTCATCCACTGAGTTTTCTAATTGTATTTTAGTTCTGTACATTACTTTTAATTCAGTTTTGGTCTTGTTTTCTTTGTGAAAAATAGTTTGTCACACATCCACTGAGTCTTCTAATTGTATTTTAGTTCTTTTCAGTTTTGGTCGTGTTTTCTTTGTGAAAAATAGTTTGTCAGTATATCTTTTTGTCGAAGTACACAGTACATATTCTGTCTTTATCCTTGTTAACTGTTGAGATTAGTTTTATTCCACAGCACAGTGTGTCTTTATGAAGATCCTGTAAACAGTAAAGTGTAACCATGTGTGCTGCAGGCTGTGGGAGGAAGGCTGGAAGCAGAGATACTACAAGACCAAGTTTGATGTGGACGTGTCAGATGAGGATTTCAGGCAGAAGGTGGTTCAGTCCTATGTGGAGGGTCTCTGCTGGGTGCTGCGCTACTATTACCAGGTGAGGTGACCTGTTCCTTCATCACAGTGAACACACATACTGTCATTTGTCCTGACTCAGTCCCACATGCATCATCCTGCTGCCACTGATTCTTCTGCCTCTGGAAATAGTCCCCAATAATTTTACTCCATCCTATTTGAGTAGTGGTTGCCCTTTAAGGAAATTGTGGAGCTTTAAGGAGAATATAGAATAACATCTTGTCATTAATGCACATGATATGTGTGAGGGCAGCAGACTGGACAAAGCACAACAGTGACAGGAAGCTTTGAAGGCAAACTAACATAACATATCGCACTTTTCAGTGAATATACATTGCAGACAATGTACACAGGGAGGTTTGCAAACATTTGTCACCTCGTACATTTAGACAAAGAGTGCGTGGTGAGCCACAGCCCCACCCACACTTTGATTGACAGGTGATCTGTGGGATGACGACGGAGCAGCAGATGAAGCTGTAAGACCAAAACACATGGAACTGACCTCCTCAGTCCAAAGATGCTACCAAAATAAACAAATGAAAGAATCCCCTTTCCTCCAGATTTATAACTGATTGTCAAGCTCATGCCTGTTCATTCGGACACACCTTTTTTTTCCCTTCATCTTAAAAGTTAAGACGATCTTAGTGTCGAGAATCTCAACCAAATCAACCCCGACCTGCAGCTTCTGATGTCCAGTTGTTTGCAGTGTGATTATTTCCTAAATCATTTTATTGTGGTAAAATATTGATCTTTATCTTGAAATAATCAGCTGTGGGCCCTCTCTAGAAGAGCCAGGGTGTCTCAGGCTGAGCGGGGGGGGATTTGTTTGGGCTGATTGTGCGCTCTGTCTTGACTCCACATGCTTGCCAATCCAAAGCCTGTCTCAGGGGGCCGTTCTGGATGAATTCATTAGCAGGCCCTCGGCGGACGGGGACGTGTCTGCTCTCTGCTGCCACGCATTCACAGTCCACCGCTGCGGAGTTGTGATCACGCACAGCTCGCCAAACGAGAGCTGAGTTTATCCAAAACACAAAAGAAGAGGTTCACATCTCAGGTTTTCAGATTCTTTGTGTGTTTCAGGCCATGAGGACTTCAGTGTTTCTCATGCTGACACTCAGTTTGGGCAGTTTATACAAATTGAACATGGGGGGGGGGGGGAGACACCATTCGACCGTATGGTTTTGTTTTTTTTTTTGTTTTTTTTTAACTTCAAATTGGAAGAATCTTCTTACAAAGGAATCAGCTGAATCAAATTTGGAGCATTTTGAGCAAATTATGGTAATTGTAGATTTATTTTCCCAGTTTTTGTCCACAAAACAATGAAATGTTTATTCATTTCAGTTGTCAGTTTATTAGGTACACCTTCTAAAGAATATTGCAATCTAATCCAGCAGTGCTGCAATAAATCCTCCTCCAGTTTGTGGTCAAACGGATTCAGAAGTGTTGATTCAGCTGTTTTGTGATGCTGTGTAACTGAATTGTGTTCTGCTGACAGGTGTTTCTAATATTTACTGTAGTCCACCCTCAATGATTTTAACGAGCTGGACGATATTAGAAACGCGTCAATAGGGTTTTTGTTTGTGACCGTAACAGAGTGCAGCTGTTTTGTGCTGCTGTACCTGAATGAATTGTTTCATATTCAAAAGAAAACCAGCGTCTTGTAGACTTGTGGAGTAATGTAGAAGAATTCTGTCAGCTGCTTCACAAAGAATTTAAAAAGTATAAAAACTGACTTTAGCATCGGATTAACGTGTATCAGAGTCTTTGGACTTTTTGCTTCCACGTGACGTGTGCTCTGAACTGGCAGTCGGAGTCTAAACTGGAACAACTGGACTGATTTAATAGTATTTGTTAACTTTTTTTTTTACCAGTTTGATGTGTATAATATACATTTAATCAAAC